TAGTTTTCTTTTCTTACAATGCCCTTTAGAATTTGTTAGAAAGGTAATGCTTACCCTTAGCATTTCACAGATAGCAGATGCTGTCTCATATACTTTACATATTATGTTCAAACTTCTATTTTGATTTAGTTTTGGACTTTAGAAAACTACTGTAAAAATAATATTATATATCCTTATATACCATTATTGATTTCACACATCCTAACCACTGACTACATAGATATTATTTTATCACTCATTCTCTGTTGCCTTTCATTTTCATGACTCATATTTAAAACAGGGAGAATCCCATATCTTGTCCTTATATCTCCTTTCTACCATTTTATAGAGTCATTGGGTCATTTCTAGCCTTAATTTTTCTTGTTGTTCTAATGCAGAGTCAGGTTCATTATTTAAGACTTATCAGATATTATCTCAGAGTCAATAAAATTGATCTGATGAATTTAGCCAAAATCTTACAATGAATTGCTATTATGGACTCAGCGGTGCTCTTGAAGATAAGTCTATTTATAACACTACAAAGTCCATGTCTGACAGGACAGATAATGGCTATGTAAAACTAACTTTCCCCCTGAACCACCCCTCACATTTCTATGTTTTTAGAGCCTTTGCCTCTCTTAGAGAGATTGTGGGCTGGTTTCTAAGGTCTCCGACCTCATGACTGATGTCCCCTGACTATGAGTTTGACTAAAGAAGAAGAATAAGAAAGCTTGAAAGCATAAGACAGCAGCTCATTTGTTCACTGATCATAGCATGACACTGGGTGTTTCTTACTAAAATTTGTACCTCCTGCCAGGCAGCTAGGAATCTCACAGGGATATCCTTCACTGTCGTTTCTCCACTGACATTCTTCTGATACTTTCATGCCCAGCATTTGCCATCAGCATATTATTTTATGAATTCAGAAGTCTTTCATGTAACCGTATGCTCTTTCTGCGTGATGATTAATCTGGTCAGTTTGACTGGACTGAACAATACCTTGGAGACTGCTACAGCACACCTCCAGACGTCCTTGTTACAATATTTCTTTTGACGAGCAGAGCATGAACTCTCCAATCTAATGACTGGATTACTCCACAGATAGATTAAAATTGACTAGAATATTGAGAAATGATAGATTATGGACAGTATGCCTGGTTAGAAGAAGTAGGTTGACAGTTGTAATAGTCCTCCCTGTACTGTTGTGTTTCCTGAGAGCCAGGCTGGGAATTCCTCTGCCACTTACTTATTTCTTGTCATGATGGACTGAACAAAACAAGTGTTTCCTCCTTAAGTTTCTTCCTTCCGTCCCATAGTAATAATAAAACTGACTAATGCACCCTACCTACACCTAGGCGAGTATTCTGTTCCTTTAACTCTTTCAACTCCCCTTTGACTGTTAGCATTCTTACCAGCCAGGACTCTGGTGAGCACGTCAATCTTCTATGCGTCCGCTTTTGCTCTTTGCTCATCTTCTCACGAGATCTCCCGTTAGAGCTGCTGTCCCTACAAACACTCTAGCCCCTATCATCTCTTAATTTGATCAAAATTTAACCTACTAAATGTCTTATTTGGTGTAAGATCAACCAAAAGAAAATTCACTTTGTCAACTGTTCTGAAGTTGCTGCCTGCGTTGCAAATGTCCTAAGGCATTTGGAGTTTCTGGGCTTCTTCTTTTAATCTCAAGAAAACTGTTTTTGATGAGGAAGCCTCATATTCAGATGATTAAATTATATTATCATACTGTCCTTCAAGTGAACCAAGTTCTGAATGTGCAAGAAGTTCAGGAAAAAAAACTGCCCAATCTAGTGTTTCCTTAAATACACTCTTCAGAACAATATCCATGCAAATGGTTAAGAAAACAAGGGTAACACTTTTTAGAAATAATTATACATACCAATGTGTAACTAAAGCTATTGAAAGTCCTATAATACATAGGTATAGTTAATTTGAGCCATTTATACTTTAAACAACAACAAATTTTCTCAGACTGTGTAGACTGTTTGACTCTTCCTCCAGGGTATTGCAGAGAAGACTCTGTAAAGGACAAACTACTGTCTTCCTGAAAACCTGGACATAAGTTTCTCACTTGGAGGAAAACAGTTCACATCCACTATCAGACACTTTTCCTTACTGCTTCTGAATCTTTGTTATCTGTTTTCTTTTTAAGTCTTCTGCTTTCCCATTCTATTTCCATGAGGCACAAAAAGGGACATCCATAAGATTCAATAATCTTACGCCAAATTCACATTTTGTTCTATGGTTTTTAACTTGGTTTTGCTTTCCTGTCTAAATAAGTAAATTTGCCAGAGGATCTCTGTCTAAATTTAATGAAGTTCAATAGAAACGTGAATGATCAATAAGGTCAAATCAGATACAACTGTAGCTAATTTTGACATTTTAAAACTGTCTGATTGTCGGTAGAGGGCGCTCTCCTAAAGCTGCTTGCTTACTTTGCACACATTCCAATGCGCCTGAGTGATTTGCAGCAACAATAAAAAAAATTCTACAGAGATAAGTTCTATTCCCATAAAACAAAGGAGCTTTTAAAAAAGGAGAATTAAGGCACTTTTAAAATTGCACAGTGCATTTTATTTGGAACTCTTCAGATTATAGAGAAATGAAACTATAAATATACCATAATGCCTGCTTTAAGTGTTTAGAGCCTCTTGGGATAGATAGATAGATAGATAGATAGATAGATAGATAGATAGATGGATGGATGGATGGATGGATGGATGGATGGATGGATGGATGGATGGATAGATAGATGATATGTAAATATGTGTATATGTTCCACATGCGCATAAATATACCATACCAATAAGGGATAATTAATTATAGAAATGATAATCATTAAAATAATCTAGACAAAGTAGGCCCATTTCTTTACACTGTGACCTAGTTTTCCTTTTTTCTACATATGGAACTTGAGTGGCAGTTGTCACTGTATGTTTTTTACTTTTGGCTACAAAACTTCAATTTTCTTGCTCTTAAAATTCTCATTTCTTGACAGGTACCCATACCTCTTCTCAAATTTCCTACATTTGTAACATGCTTGGAGTGCATCAAGGCATTTCTGCTTAGTCTGGCTATCTTTTAAATTTTGTTTTGATAACTCATCTCATTAAAATGTAGCACAGAGTCCTCATGATTATTTATTATTTGGACATAGCCCATGAAGCCATTATTCAAATCTGACTGTCCTAATGTGTTTCATAACATCCATATATCCATAGACATTTTTGTATTCCAGTAATGTTTCCATTAGCCATCCATTTTTAAATGAAAAGCTATTTATTTTCCTGGAAATTAAAAAAAAATCTGTGGAGCTCTCTGCTGAACCCTCATAGGCTTTCCCTGAGATTTTTACACAACTTTGTTATAGATTCCTATTGTATAAACCTAAGGAATGGGGGAAATGTAACACAGATCACATTTCAAAGATATTACTATCAAGAAGCAGAATTTTTAGCATTGTTTTTTTTTTTTTTACTATTTCTGGAGTTATGTTCTATAGAGGAACAAAGATGTTTAGAGGACTCCACCCATTTTGTTGTGGTTTTCAGCAGCATGATAATATTTATTGAAGCCTAATGGGCCAAGCATAATTCTAGGTTCTGAAGCTGTAATGGTTAATTAGACTAACTCTATCTTGTATGTATGAATTTCTCAAAACACCACCCAGAGGACCTGCATTCAAATTACTAAGGATATGGAATTTGACAATAACTCTACAGACAACTGAGAGTATATGGGAGTGTGATATATACTAAATTGGATGTTATCTCAGCAAATTAAAAGAGAATGAACATGCTGTATGTGGACAAACCAGTTTTACTTTTGAAAGAGAGAATGAAATACTGTCTTTTTGGCAACACAGATTGGGAGGTATCACACTTAGTTAAATAATTTTATCACAGAAAGACAAATACATGTATTTCCCCCTCTTTCATAGAAAGTAAAAATAGAGTTCACATAAATAGAGGTTAGTGGTCACTGGAAGCTAGGAGGGGAAGGGGAGTAGACAGCGTATAACTAGGTAATGAGAAGCAAGATGCATTTAAAGAGAAATTAGTTTGTGTTCTAGATCACAGCAGCATGTTTACACTCTCTAACAATTCATTATGTATTTAAAACATCTCAACAAGTCCACATTCCAACACGCAGAAAGTGTTAGGAGAGATGAAAGCTAATTACCTGGATTTTATCATTATGCATTGCACACATGTGATGAATTGTATATACCATATTCCCTAAATATGTGCATATGTCAATTACATTGCTTTTGTAAAACTGAAGAAACAATGCTAGATTATATATACACATTAATAAAGTCGTTTAAAATAAGTCTTTCTATTTGTCTATGCCACCAATCTCATATAAAAATTACAATACAGCCAGGGCTGCACTCCAAAAATTGCGATTCTCTGGGGTTTGGGGTTATCCATAAGTGCACTGAAGTACTTCTCTACAGCACACTTACATACAGATGTTTAAGAAGTCCTGGTGCTGACGCTGGGATAGCCATCACTTTGCTGGTGACTCTGGCTTACATGCTGGCTACAGTGATGGCTGGTGGTACTAAGGCACCTGGCCCCCTGTTAGGATGCTGTTCTGCTGACAGGCGCTTATTACTCACTAAGCACTCAGAATTGCCTAATTCTCCTCTGTTCATTAGGCCTCACAGGGCAAAGCAAGCAGCTGAACATGCACCAAGGCTTGCTTACTACTGGCCCATTGGTTTAGTAGATTTCGTTTTATTTTCATGTGAACTCAGAAGTAAGGAGTCCCCTGGATTTTCTCAAAAGATATGGTAGATTTCACCTTGATTCATTCACACCTTGCTTTATTTCTTTATTTTTAAATCGGGGAGTGATGAAAATTCACCTTTTGGCACACAGATGCACAGAAGTTTTTTCTTCCCACGTTTCACAACTATTTAAGTGTACCCGTTTCAGACCTAAGCTCCAGAAGCCTCCATCACCACATTTCCTGTTTATAACTGAACAAAGTACACACAAAAGAGTTGAAGAAAAAAAACCTGAGTACTGATAAAGATATATGTTGGTGCTATGTTGTTTCTAACAGAGCAGAGGAACAGTGCTTAGAGAAGAAGCTGGTGGGAGAATTCTTAATCTATCCGTCTGCTTCATGGCTGCACGCCGGCTCTTCTGAAGAGAGAAGCATGTCAGGTGGGTGGCAGTCTCAAGTCTTTTGGTTTTCATTTCTGTGACTAGCAGTTCATTTAGCAATTTCTAAGTCTTAATAAAGAGATATTGACTTGTGGGAAAGCAAATTTGTTAACATGGCATTTTAAAAAATGTACAGTGATGTTTAGCATGGCAGGAAGGTGTCTGAATTGCATTAATGAGTATATTGATTATTGGCTTTTGAAAGAAAAAAACTAGTCAGTGTTTCCTAAAAGCAAAGCTATCACAGTTATTGATGAATGTTCACTCTCACTGTGCCATTTGGAGATTTGTTGCTTTTACAGAATCTTTTGTTAACCATGCATATTTCACTCCAGTTGGTTTAGATAGAAAATAGGATAGAAATAATTGATTGTAACTGTCTAGCAATTAGGCATAGTTTTCCCTGAGGGATCAGTAGAATTGCCTATAGTCGTGGAGATGAAAAACTTTGAAAATGCCAGTGGAAATCGCAAGGCAAGATAGATTGTTAGGGGAGCTCAGATCAATTTCCTGCTATGAATCCAAGACTGCTATTCATTCCTCCTGCGTTCTTGATATTCTCTTTATTTAACAAATTTTTTTTACAATAGAAAGTGTACATTATATAAAGAAAGAGCACCGTTAAATAAAAAATTATCTTTTGTTGTTATTTTTCAAGACAGGGTTTCTTTGCATAAACCCAGCTCTCCTGAAACTCACTCTGTAGACCAGGCTGACCTCAAACTCAAAGAGATCCACCTGCCTCTACCACCTGGTGCTAGAATTAAAGGCATGTGCCACCACCTCCCAACAGAAAAACTATCTTACAAGCTAACTTTTAATTACTTTAAAATGAAAAATATTAAGTTAAATTTCCTTCAAAGTTTTGTTCCTATGCATTCTACCAGGTTTTCATTTTATAACAGGAATAGTAACATTATTAAATCATATATCCAGCTTTTCTGCCATCTCTGTAGCATAACCATTTCCTGTTTCATTATAGCATCTGGCTCGTCATATTCTATAGATAGATACACAGAATGATAACCGTTGCACTAATTTGATGTGTTCATCCCTTCATTTATTGTTAGACACTTCTGCTGTGTCCAGGCTTCATTTTTTGTTTTGTTTTTTAAATGGCAGGAAGCCGAACGGCTTGAAGGCTTTCGTGTATTGAGGATTATTTTTCAGAAATTATATCTAGAATTGAAATTATTGAATAAGATGCTATGGATATTTGGAATTTCATTGTTGTTCTCCAAGGTTGATGTCAATCCCCTTCCTTTCTGGAATGTTTCTTTTTAATGTTTGACCTCATTTAGCAATCTTCATAAGGACAAAATACTAGTCCCCTTCTTTAATTGCCTCACTTTGCTTACAATGGGCTTGGACACCAAACACTCTGCACAGGCTTTTAAACTGCTTGCAGTTCTATGGTTAGTACCTTGTCTGACCATGTCTTATGCCTAATTGTTATGTTGTCATGTTTAGTATCAATACATATTGGGCAGTAGAAGAGCAAAGATATCACATAATATAATATCTGACAGTTTGCCTCCCAGAGTTTTGTCTAAAGTATTTTAAAAAATCGTTTGTCTGGGTAAGGCAAAGGAATATAACATAGCATGTGATGTTCATACATGCCTTCTCTATTCTAAGTTCACAGGAGTACAAAATAAAGGGAGTAGTTCTAGTTTTGCTAGGATCGTGTAAGAAATGGACACAGCAGTTCTCTGTCCATGCTGCTGAAGGGGACTTGGGAAGGAGAAGTTCAAAGCCAATGAATGTGATGTTCAACTATCTCTGGAACTTACTAATTCTCAATCAGAAGAGACACAGTAAGCTTTCTCCACACACTTCTCAGTTCAGCAATTTGGCACAGGGCAGGAATGATGTCATTGCCAACGAGGCCTTCCTAAAACAGAGATGAAAGTATTTGCCATTAAAGCTTCCTGGATCTTAAAATCCAAAATAATTCCCTCCACACAAAATTTAGTATGAACACAGGGAATCTTGTGATAACAGTTTCCATGCTTAAACAGATGAAAAAAAGCATACTGACACAATAACTAAGGCCATGCTTCCCCATTCACATAAAATAATTGTTAACCAGATCAAACGGAGAAATCTGTTCCTTTGGCCCATCACTTAATAAATAATGGCTCACCGTTTAGTTAACACTTAGTTTGTTTTTGTTGTTTGCTTTATGGGTTCTCTTTGTCTTTGCTCACTAGAGATTCAGTTATGTTTATGGGCAGAGTGACACTCTTTTAGAGACTAGCATTGATTAATAATGAATTAGCTCTTAAACTCAGGAATTCTTTTAAAGATCAAGAGATAGTGTTTACCATGCAACTTAAGTAACATTTATCAGTAATATAAGATAGCTAATCAAAAGAAAAAATACACCACCACTTAAAGGTCACAGTTACAAAAAAACAAAGCAAAACAAAAATATGCCCACAGGTCATTATTGCTCAAATTCTTACACTATTTAAATTTTATTTAATTATCCCAATATTCTTTATCTTCAAGAAAACAGTAGAGGCCTTGATAAAACATTTAACTCCACTGTTTTTTGGGTTGAAAGGTTCCACATGCCCATGCTTATCTCCATAGTCCTGCCAGGTTGCTTCTTTTACAAAAGACACAGTGTGTGCCTAAGACCAAGCAGCTAAGCCCTGATGAGCAGCAGCTTTGTTTACATCGGGGAGTTGGGCAGCCCTTCAATCCCAACAGCATCTGTGAAGTTTACTAATCTCACATAAAGTTTAGTTGCAAAAGCAACAAAGGAATCTAGCATCGGAGACATCTGTAGCATGGTCCCTTAAAATCTGCTGTCTATCTCACAGGCATATTACATTTTTTCCCAGCTAACTTAAATAAAAACTAAGAGTTATCCAGATGCTTTAGAAGGAGGTGGGCCTGATGCCACAAGGATGAGGTTGGGAGCTCCAGATTTAACAGCTGGTTAACTGAGGATCAGTGATTTGCAAGAAGGAAGTTACACAACTTCCGAAGGACTAGTCTTGTTCTCATTCTCATGGTGTGTGAAAATAGGCATATCAAAGGGTGTATTGCTATTTTGCCTCTTCCCATCACTCTGTGATCTATACCATTCACATCTCAGATACCCTCTATGCATGGCAGGCAGTAGAAATAAGTTATTTACTTGGAAACGGGAATTAATGTGAGAGCTCCCCTGATGCTAACATCTAGTATTCTCACACCTTTTGTTGGTGATGATGTGCCTAGGTGATAGCAGTTTGAAATATGGACATGGAGATAGCATGCTATAATCCCCAAATCAAAAATATTTTGTGTTCAATACAACTACCATCACTCACAAAAATGTGTTATGAGTAGACACACGGGAATTGTAATATCAATTCAATTTTCTTTCAAAACACTTGGGTGCTTCTAATAAAAATGAACATTTGTAAAGTGCAAAGGGATGTCCACTGCTCTAAGAGAGTTTATAAGTCAGATGAAGGTACCAAGAGAGAATGTGGTAAGTCCATATACTTGTCCTACTAAAGATAGTCTGAAGTCTGAAATATGTAAAGGATTGTGTTTACCGTTTTCTATTATTAATGGCTAAAATGAGAGTTTCTACATTTAAAAAATCTGCTAATAGAAAGTATTACATTTGCTTAACTGGCTCTCCTTCCATAACACATGTAGTTATGAACTCCGTATACAGTGCCTGTCAATACCTGTTGACTTTAAGGGAGTCAGAGATCTTACAATTAAACCCACCCTTGGTAAGTGGAAACTAGATAGAAATTCACCTGCCATTGCCTCACAAATGATATCCTAAGCCCTTTGGCTTTTCAATGATATAAATACCAAAATTTATATTGTGTAGGAGTTCTTTTTAAGTCAAGAAAAACTATATAAATGAAGGTACAGTTAACTAATAATGCTACTCAAACTTGATCTTGTTAAACAAGCATTAATGAGTACAATAGGATGGACTCTGCACTCATAGAAACTCAGAGGATTGAGATGTTTTCACTGTAAACAGAGAACTTCTGGAGAGGGAAGCCATAGTGTGTGTGTGTGTGTGTGTGTGTGTGTGTGTGTGTGTGTGTGTGTGTGCGCGTGCGTCTGTGTCTGAGTGGTTTTCTGTGTGTCTGTTCAGAAGTTCTTCCATTTGGTCACCCAATCTTTTTTTTCTTTTCATGTGTTTATTTTATTTTTCAATATGAGGGTAGGCACTGCTGGCAATTAAGAAAAATGCAAGAGATGTTCAGAATATCACAAAATACAAAGCTTCCAAATAAGAGTCATCCTCTTTAAGGCTCAGATCTCATTACTGAGTGAAAAGGTTTCTGAAAAATAGAAACATAAGGTCTGAAAATCAGAGGGAAAACAGAACCCATGTCAAATTACCTCCCTTCACAGTCTAAACATTTTCCTATATATTACAGCTTAGGTTGTGCTGTCAAGTTCTATAATTGGTCATGTAAAACAAATTTACTGTTTTGTAAACAATGAAACACATTCCTAAGGGGATGTACAGTGTGGCCCCAAGTTCTCACCCAGTACCACTAACATACACTGTGAGGATTTTCCTTAAAGCTTTTAGTATAAGATTACATTGGTGTTTTGGTTGTTTATTTGTAGCTGAGAGCAAAATTATCTTCCCATAGCAATTAACGGATTAATATAATTGTTTCCCAGCTGTGCGGTGGTGGCATATGCCTTTAATCCCAGAACTCTGGAGGCAGAGGCAGGCAGATCTCTGTGAGTTCGAGACCAGCCTGCTCTACAAGAGCTAGTTCCAGGACAGCCTCCAGAGCCACAGAGAAACCCTGTCTCAAAAAACCAAAAAAAAGTGCAAACTTCTTTTTGAAATATAATAGTTATTTTAATGCAATTAAAAATAAATGCTTTCTATTTCCTTCTTTGAACTATGACTTTTTATATTAGTCTTTGTTTTATTTATTCAAGGTATAGCAATTTATTGACTGTATACAAAATAATGGAAATGGAAAAACACTAAGTAGAAAAATTAA